GCTAGGATTACAGGCGTGAGCCACCGCGCCTGGCCCCTAAATTCTATTTTTAATTGCAGTAATTTTGAGTAATGTTTAAAGATCTGATTGTCACACATGAAAATTATTTAACAATCTGATAATTCCACAAATATGAAATATTTCATCATTTTCCGATTAAATTTTAAATTTATTTTACTTCACAATTGAGAATATGTATTGACTAATTGTGAACTAAAGCCTGATGTGAAATTAAAAATATTCTTTAACAGTGCACACTATATTTACTGTGTACCATTTTATTCTTTCCAGGTAGATTATTCTAGCTTTCACTGAATAGTTGTTTTTCTTGTCCCCTGTTTTATTGTAGTTTAAAAATTTGTAGCAAGTATAAGCATTCATTAAAGCAAGTGTGTTATGCTTAACAAACACAAAGATATTAATGTAGAGGTGCAGTTCTTTTGAACTGTTTTTTGGGTCTCCCAGGAGTCCCTGAGACCTGTTCAGGGAGTATGTGAGGTCAAAACTATTTTAATAATACTAAAACATTATTTGTCCTTTCACTATAGATATTTTCATCAATGGTCCCAAAGCAGTGGTGGGTAAAACAGGTAGAGCCTTAGCGCAAATCAAAGGAATGGCACCAAACTATATTAGCAGTCTGTTTTCTTTGTTTCTCTTACAAATGTTCTTGATAAGGCGGAAAAAATTAATTTTGTTAAATCTTTACCCTTGAGTACGTACCTTTAAAATCTGTGTAATGAAATAGAAAGTATGCATACAACACTTCTGTGTATGAAGTATGATGGTTGTCTCAAGGAAGGGCGATTATTATGAGGTAGACTAGCGTTGTACTTGAAAGAATGGTAGTCAAACCATGTTATTAAAACTTGAGTAACTAGCAGACTTTTTTTTTTGAAAGTGAGTTAAATGAGCCTATCACACCAGGGAAAGCAGCTGGCAGAATTTGTTGCTGATGATAAAATTCAGGCTTTCAGTCAGTAATTAGAGTTTTGGAAAATTTTTATGCATTACCATGAACTGGATAGCATCCCAATATTTAAGACTTTATTCAAATAAGAACAGTAGTGATTTCAACAAATGTGTGTGTGTGTTTTAAAGTGTTATGAAATTTGTCAACATTGGGAAGTTTTGAATAACCAAGTGAAACAATATTTCTCAAATGACCAATACATGATATTATGAAATGTTCAGTGGTAAAAGATCCATTCAAAATGGAAGATAGAGCCATGGATTTTAATATAACAGATTATGAAAATTCATTGATATTGTTTTAGATTCTATATTGCAGATTACCTTTATTTATTTATTAGAGAGGGTCTTGCTCTGTTCTCTAGGCTGGAGTGCAGTGGCTATATCCCAGCTCATTGCAGCCTTGAACTCCTGGTCTCAAAAAATCTTTCCACCTTAGCCTTCTGAGTAGCTAGGACTACAGGCCACCATACCTGACTAATTAAAAAAATTTTTTTTTTTTTGTAGAATGAGGGTGCTGCTGTATTGCCCCAGGCGGTCTTTGTACTCCTGGCTTTAGAGAGGGTCTTGCTCTGTTCTCTAGGCTGGAGTGCAGTGGCTATATCCCAGCTCATTGCAGCCTTGAACTCCTGGTCTCAAAAAATCTTTCC